TATATATATATACACGCATGCTGCCACGTTGGTTTAGACAAGGATCAGGGTGTAGGAGTCTGGAATAGTCTGGATACATGTTCTTGGTGGACATACTAGTGATCGCTCCATTGTCCTGGGTTGTCCTATGGCCTTTGCAGCATGCATATCGTACAGTCGTGACAGATATGCTGCTCGTACCTTAAGCCCTGAACCCTGTCTATGCTGACTACCCTGAGACTACCCCAGCTACCCTATAGCCACCCGAAAACCTTGAATGCCCCATACGGGAAACCCTAACTGCTAACTTGCAATTTGCTGCCCGTCTTCAGGCTTGACTAAAGGGCTGAATGCGAGCCGGAACCGCAACAGAGTAGACCAAGCACCCAGGAAGGTTATGTAGGATTTCGGATGTATAGGGTGTAGAGCTTAGGGCACTTGTGGTCTGGGGTTTATGCTTCCCTGGACATGAACATGTTCGTCGAAGTCTTGCCTCCGCATTCTGAAGTTTCTTCAAAGAGAGAGGTCTAGGTGTAGGTGGACAGGCACTTGAACTGACACACGGCGAACTTACAAAGCTGATCCGATGATCCAGCCATGCTTCTGCATGTGCGTTGGTTTCCGGCCTCCTCACGACTTCGCCTCTCGCTGCATCAGGGATACATGCATATCCTGAAAGTGTTTTTGGGGGTTGGTGGGTGAGGGTTCAATCAAGCTTTGCTTCACTCGCGAAAATTGCATCCTCAAGCCAACCCTCAGGTTGCATCTTACAGCTTGGAGCACCGTTTGAAAGGTCTCAGGGGCCATCTACAGCACTATGCGCAGTTCTAGTCCCCAAAGCCCTAGACCTCTTCACGGTACCTAATGCAAACCGACTTGCAAGATGGCGAGGCATGCACCCCCCCTCCCCTCCCCCAGACTGCCTAAAGCCTGCACTTAAACACCCCACTCCTAAGTAAAACGCCCCGAAACATTCGACTCCTGAAGGCCTAAACCCTAAACCCCAAGCCCTTAGCCCCTAAATTCTCAACCCTTTTAAATCCTAAAACCGCAAGCCCAACTTAGGGACACCCGGAGCTGCGGCGCAGCGGCGGTGGCGGAGCGGCTCTCGCCGAAACCCGGGCGGCCTCCTGGTGCCGCAGATGCGAAGACCTGTCGTACCCAGGGTTTCGGGTTGAGGGTTCAGGGTTAGGGTTTAGGGTTAGACTCCAAAGCCCCTAATTAGGGATTACGCCATTAAGTATAAGGGGATCCTTATCACGAATTAAGAGTCAAGTTCCAGTCCTTGATTAAGGGTGTGGGGTTTAGGGCCTTAGAGGAACATTGAGGTATGTGATCCGCTGATGGCCTGGAGCGCGACAGCTTCCATGGGCCCCAACCAGCAACTAGGCCGAGACGGTAGGGGCTGGGGATTTGGGGTTCAGGGTATTGGGGTTCAGGGTTTTGGGGTTTTAGGGTTTAGGGTTCAGGGATGTTTGGGAGTCTAGGGTTTAGGGTTTTAGTGTTTAGCACGGCTTAGGGTTTAGGGTGCCTGCCTGAGACTAGAGGCTACTCGATGCTATCGATCGTGCAAGTCGTGCTGGCGTTGGCTTGGAAGCGAACGCACCTGAGCTGGCTTTGACAACTTAGTGTGAAGTAGGAAACCCTCGTTAAATATAGCACACTGCGGTCTACGAGTCCACAAACCTACAGCTGTAAACCCCCAAAGCACAACTTCATAAGACCCCAACCCTAAACCCAAAACCCCAAGCCCAGAGACCTGCAACCCTCCACCCCCCGAAATCCTGGTGCTCGAAGCCGGGAGTGTAGCTAGCCTAAGCTGGCCGCTTAGTCGTGACTGGCCCTCATTAGTGCATCAAGATCTCTATCTATCTATATATATATATATATATCTCTCTCTCTCTCTCTATATATATATATACATACAGTAGACATAGATATAGATAGACAGATAGAGCCTAATGCTGGCTTTCGGGCCGGAGGTCCGTGACCTTCAATCCTGAGCCCTGTTTAAACTTACAGTAGAAGCCCAACAGTTGGAAACCCAATAGCCTCAATCCTTAAGAGTAATGTGTAAGGAATCCCAGCACTATTTGTCCTTAAATCCGGTTTCCGACTTTTTGGGATTTACTTTAAGCTGTGAGATCCAGCGCCCCGCGAATACAGCCGTGGAAGTCCTGAAAGGCCCTCGAGACTCAGCTTCCAATCCAAAAGTTTGTCAAACAAACTCGCCTTTCTCTGTTCATACGGTTTGGGGTTTAGGGTTTAGGGTTTTGGGGTCTATTGACTCGAGCTTTCGATACATACTACTGCGTGTGATTTCCCTTGTAACCGCTTAACTTTGCACCTGTCCCTCCGTACCTCTGAAAAAATTCAACTCAAGCCTACAAGGCATTTTGTTGATCTTGTACTAGATTGTGCAGCCAGTTCCCTGGAGTGTTTGCAGCCTTCCTTGATTCTCTCCGAGGTCAGCGAAGTGGGTTTGGCCCAAAGACAGCAGCTTCTTGGATGCCATTGGTCCGAAAGACTTAGGGCTAGGGTTTACTGGGTTCTTGTTAAAGGATTTGATTCAAAAGAAAGCATATTAGTTACTCGGTACTATAGATACCCATTATGGTAACTTAAATAAAATCCCCGAGCAAGAACCCCTCCAGGTTTAGGGCCTATAGGGCCTTCATTCGACCGTTTGGCATTTCACGATAGCGCATAGAAAGACAAGCACACTCCAAGGAAGACCAGCTGGTCGTTTCGGTTCTCAGAGGCCTAACTTCAGATAGGCGGCTAGTCGGCTAATCAGGCTAATCAACGAAAAAACTCATCATTATCAGAGCTCAAAGTAACTACGAAGCAAATCTTTTTTCGGACGAGCATTACAAATACAGCATGGGGGCAAGGCAGATAATATACAATGACAGTAAGACTGGTACAGACCCTAAACCCTAAGCCCTAAAACACTACTGATAGCCGTACTGTTAAAGTGTAAACATGCTTGTCATCTCACTCGTCAGGACTGGAACGCAGACACAGAAAAGTGATCCAGTGAATAAGCTGAACACAGAATGCATGAATAGCTGCATGTGCAAGCACGAGACTAATAGGGCACTTAAGGTGCGTAGAAGAACGTTAAGATGATCCAAACCTACCCTTAACTCCTTTACGGAAGCAAAATGAGAAACACGACAACAGCCAATATAGGATACATGCCTACGGTTCGCCTGAGTTTCCGAATCCCCACATTGCAACACCCTTCTTAAAACCGAAGCTCGACGAAGGCTTTGGGAGCGTTTGAGCTGCAGGTGTCAAGCGCTCGTTGGCTTGCAACGTTTGTGGTTACAGGGTTAGGTTAGGGTTAGGAGGTGTATAAACCCTAAACCCCTAAACCCCTAAACTCCTAAACCCCAAAGCCTTAACCGTGGCTTTGCCCAGACTTTCGATTAAGTGTTTGGGTTGCCCAGGAGTCTTTTGAAGCGAAGCTTGTCGTGTGCAGGCTTCTCGATTGGTTAGACGTTCCAGCGTGCACAGATTGGGGTTCAGGGTTTGGGGTTAAGCCTAAACCCTAAAGTCTAACCCCTAAACTCTAAACCCTAAATCCAAAGGCAGTTCAGGTAACAAGGCAAGTAGCTGACGCCATTGAATAAAGATGGAGCTCCTGGGCTATCATCGCAATCGTCTGTTTCATCATCACCATCAACAGAATGCCTCGCTACCCGAACATGTCAGGTTCTTTGTTCTAATTTGCCCTGCAAGGTTAATGCTGTGCCTTTCGCCTCAGCAGCTTTGCCGCGCACTCTTCGGTTTCCACCGTGCTCGCTGCCACGATGAGGACGTTGCTTCAGCCTTAAAGGAATCCCTAAATAGTTCAGGGGTACTTTGGGGCCGAAGTGGAAACTACATGGCAGTACATGGACCCTTATATGCTGGCACTTCTCTCGACTTAGGAGTTTCAGGTGCCGCCGAGGAGCCGGGGCAGACTTAGGGGATAAGACCAGCTTTTAGGGTTTAGGGACCAGGGGCCTTAGATCTTAAATGCCTGAGGCCCTAACCCCCAACTCAGGGCAAGAAAATGTCAACATACTTGCATTGCTTTCTCTTGGCCCTAGACTGAGAGCTAGTTTACACCAATATATAGTAATCCAATATCAATATCAAAAAAAGTGTGTGTGTGTATATATATATATATGGGTAGGTCTTGAGATTTTGGTCTCTTTTCGGATCCTTTTTTATAAGGGTGCTGCTTTCTCTTGGGTTCCAACAAAAAGGGACCCTAACGTAGAGAACTACCCATGGGAGTCTTCAGATGTGGGAGAGGACATCAGGCAACGACCGCACCCCAGAGTTCAATGCCGCGTACACCCGAAACCCTAAGCACTAGGCCGTTGCACCCTGAAAGAAAAACTTAAACCCCAAACCATAAACCACTATAAATCCCAAGCCTAAGCACTGCAATCCCAACCGCTAAGCCCTGCAGACCCCAGGCCCTAAGCACCCTCACCCTCAACACGAAACCGTTAAAGCCACAAGCAGACCATAGGATTTTTGGGGCTTAGGGTTTAGGGGTTTAAGCCACGTTTTTTTTTCCCGGGGTTTGGGTGGCTTGGGGTCACGATGTTCCGTTGAAGGAGCTCCTGGCCTCGGCTTCCGAGGCCCTACTCAGTCATCACCGCACAGATTGAAAAATGCAGGCTGCAGGAGTTTTAGTTTTGGGTTTCAGGTTTACTGTGCAGGATTGGTTTTTTGTTGCGGTTTCTTAGGGTTGACGGAATGGCCCAGAATTAGTCGAGGGGTTGAAAGGTTTGTGATAAGAGGAAGAGCAGGCCCACAGCAGGCACCGATACTATATGAGGGATATGATGTATGCACGCGTGTATGCATGTATATACGTGTACTGGTCTGTCTGTTTGTCTGTTTGTCTGTCGGTCGGTCTGTCTGTCTGTCTGTCTGTCCGTCCGTCTGTCTGTCTGTCTGTCTGTCTGTCACGGAAATCGGGTCTTTTCCGGGATCAAAGCAGCGCCCCAGGCTCTTCAGAAGGATCTCCAAACCATCTTTAGGGTTGTGTCATGGTTTAGGGTCTAGGGTTCGTTGTATATTCCGAAAATATAGGTCTTTATATGATACTCTTCGCAGAGGAGGTTTGGGCTGCGTAGGTAAACCTAAACATCTCGGCCCTTGAGCACAACTTGTCTATAAATAAATAAATAAACACATAAATATAGAAAAACATATAAATAGATAGATAGATAGATAGATAGACTCCCAAAGCTGCATGAACCTTGCAGGCACTTCTGTCTGATGACGGGGCCGTCTATGACGAGTCCTACAACCCTGGCGATCTAGCTCCCAGGCTGGAGGAAATCGCTCTTTTCTGGGTTTAGGGTATGAAGGGTTTGGGAAAGTTTAATGTTTAGGGAGATTTGTTGTTGGAGTCTTTGGATCCAGGGCTAAGACTGCTTTGAAACGACAGCTTCATCGTCAACACCGGCGAACTTTAGCCTGTCCGGTGAAGGGCCATTGGGGGAATCGACCTAAAGCACTTTCCGCACGAATGAAAATGACATGTCCATGATTTGCTGTGCTTTGTGCAGCCTGCTATGGTAAACCCTATAAACCCTAGACACTATCCTGTATGGAAACCGGTTCAGGGGTTTCTAACCCTCGGCCTCACCCGCAAGCCTCCAGTTCAAGGAAGATGAGTTCGGTGTGCAGAAGCTCGGCACACATGCGGTACTGACGGCCAACGATGTCGCCATGCTGCTGAAGGTCGGCGAAGTTGAATCCGGTTGAGGGTATACTCCCTAAGGGTCCATGTTCCTAGTACTTTGGCCTTAAAGTAGTCCGTATGTAGCTAACTTATATCCTTCTTGGGTACATGGACCCTTAGGGACCTTAGGGAGTGTTCGGAGTGTTGATCACGTTGCAGCCGTCTGAGTCACCGGGCCTCCGCGCCAAACCTCTATAGGTTACCAAAACCCCCATTCAATGCCACACTCCCCAAACTCGGACGAAAGTGAAACCTCCAAATCCTGTTCTGAAACTCACCCAAACGCTAAGCCCGTAGCTGCCACAGCCCTGAACGCTCCTGTAAAACCCGAAAGCCCAATCGCACTCACAGCAGTTGACCGTATGCTTGACCCCTTAGGACCCGCAAAAGCGCATAAGGGATTCTGGGATAGTCCGTGTCTTGTAAGTCACCACACTCAGCCAGCCCAGTACAAACTTCAAAGCCTCATAGACTCAGACTATGACATGGTCCCTTATTGCGCAGGCCTTTAGCCGTTTCGGGTACACAAAGAATCCGGCAGCCATGGCCCCTTCGGCAGCTTACTGGGATGAGGGTTTCTGATGTCAAGGTTTCATGGCATAGGGCTAGGGGTTCAAGGTTTAGGGCTTTAGGGACTATAGGCGTTAGAGGATCGGAGCTTTGTCTAGATCGTTTTTGCTGTCGATGCGGTTTATGGGAACTTCCGGCGTACATTGCATGCTTCCAGTTTACCTTCAGGGCATCCCTTCTAATCAGGTTTGTAGTTGTCATATACGTGCGTCCCTACGCCTTTTCGCCACTTTATGGATAGCCGGCAGTTCATACTGGCTGCTTTAGCATTCAATACCACTGTAGTTGCTTTTGCATCCATTTGTATCTAAACATATCTCTTGAGCAAAATCTCAACATTAGCCAGGTTCCCAGTGTGCCAGTGTGGAAGCATGAAACATCTTACTGTTCTGTCAACATAACATACTCTTTATGTGCCGATTCGCTCAAACACTGAACACGAAGAAGTACATACTAGTGCAAACAAGCTCCTGTTTTAGAAGACAGTTCGATGATATTGGACGTTCTTACATGTTTCTGACTCTTGACTGTGAGCGGTAATGAGGTAACAAGCGAAGGTTCAAACAAACAGATACCGACTATACACTAATCTAGAATATGCAAACAGAAGGGAAACACGATATACATCTAGAACGGCAAACAATTTACAATCGATGGTCCGATTCTCAGTTGATTGAATATGGGGATGCCATGGTTCCAAATCTGCACAAGTAGTGTGAGTCAACCTTTCATCGATCTGAACATCCAATTTTAAAAAACCATCCTTCACAAGTTTTTAACATGCAAAACAAGGTTGTGAACGACACTGGTATTTACAATTTTCTCGCTCTTAATGTTTGCGAACATTTGACATAGCTGCTCACTGCACCGGTCTAGTAGGGGAGTACCTGTGATGATACAGATGGTGATGACGGTCTTGCGAGAGAGCTAGTGATGATGATACGCATTATGAGGAGAGAAAAAACGGCACTTCGTGTACAAGTGACCCACTTCGGCCATGTGATGGGAAGGGATGGGGGAATACATGCCACGACTTCAGAGGATTATTCCAAAATAAGGCATAAGGGATTCCGTGGGTTTCAAGGGGGCCTAACACAAAATGTGTGTGCGTGCGCATATATATATACATATATAT